GAATCGGGCTCGTTGAGCTGGGAGAGCTTGTCCTGGAGCAGGGATGGCAGGATGGTGTTGAAGGCAGAGACCCTGGCGTAGGTCCCTGGGGAGTCCAGATGCTGCAAGATGGAGTGGAGGGCCAGGTTAATGGCGTTGTCTTCAGATCTGTTGGCTCTGTAAGCGAACTGCAGGGGGTCCAGGTGGGGCGGAGGTGGAGGACATGAGATGAGAGAGGGCAAGCCGCTCAAATGACTTCATGACTACAGATGTCAGTGCCACAGGTCTGTAGTCATTAAGTCCAGTTATCCTGGTCTTCTTTAGGACAGGGACAATGATGGAGGATTTGAAGCAGGCCGGGACATGGCAATACTCCAGAGAACTGTTGACAATGTCAGTGAAGACAGGAGTTAGCTCACTGGCACCGTGCCTCAGAGTGGCAGGTGACACGTGGTCTGGTCCGGGGGATTTTCGGGGGTGCAGCCTTGAGAAGAGTTGTTGGATATCTTCTGAAGCTATTGTCAGGGTGGGGGCAGAGCTGATGGGTGGGGGCAGAGCTGATGGGTGGGTCGCTAGAGCAATGGGGGGTGAGGGAGGTGTCCGGGGCGGCGTTAAACCGGCCGAAAAGCAAGTTCAGCTTGTCAGCCAGCTTATGGTCGTCAGCACAGACGGGGGCATTGGGGCATTGGGCCCTCCAGACAGAAGCATGATTGTTGTTTGAAAACTGCTTCTGTAGTCGTTCTCTGTGCCGGGACTTGGCTGTTTATAGTTCGTTCCTGAATTGATATTTAGCCACTTTATCGTCGCTGAAGTCCCCCTCTCTGAAAGCGGACTCCTTTGCTTGTCTGGGCTGCCTGAGTTTAGCAGTGAACCAAGGTTTGTCTTAGTTATAGATGACCCTGGTCTTTGTTGGAATTATGCTATCCTCGCAGAAGTGAATGTCTGACGTCACTGTGTCCGTGTAGTTACCCAAACTATCTGCGGCAGCTCTGAAAATGTCCCAGTCCGTGGATTCCATGCATGAGCGCAGCTCCTCCACGGCCTCATCAGACCACACCTTGGAGTTCCTCACTACAGGTTTCGAGAGCGTCAGTCTCTGTCTGTATGCAGGAATCAGATGTATAATGGAGTAGTCTGAGAAGCCTAGTTCCTGGCTCAAGTTACCCTCATTAAAATCTCCCAGGATTATAAACGCTCCATACACAGCACATGCTCTGTGAGTGCGCGCTGAGCCTCCCAAGATTTTGCGGGTACAAACAAACAACACATGCCGGTTTTATGGTACTGAGATTGCTAACTTCTTCTTCTTTACTGGCTTTTTCTGTGTTGTTTTTGACAAATTTTGTCTCTGGGACAAAAAAACTGAGTGAGCGGCCGGCATTAGCTGTGAACAGTGGCCATGTCCTGAAGTTTCTCTATGACGAGGAGATGAGAAAAGTGCAGGGCTGTGTTCAAAAAATGTTTTATCCACTATCATGCTATAGAAAGCAAATACAGAACCACTATTCCCATGCAAATAAATTGATGTTGTCCCTTACAGATATTGCTGCTGCAATTTGGTTGTAACCCAATTTATATGGATGATTATATATCTGTTCATTAGCAATCATCTCCAATTCACACTCATTGGCAGTTTCACATTGGGACTTTTTCCTTTTTGCTATCCTTTCAAAAATAACAGTATGTAGTAGGGTTGGGCGATATGGGCCTCAGCATGTATCACGATATGATAATTTTAACAAAGCCTCATATAAAAGCTATAAAAACTTAGCACTGATAATTTTAAACACACTTGCCTCAAAGTGCATTTACTGATTTATTGGCAGCAAAATGTGTAATACAGCTATTGTATATAAAACGTATTAACAAAACTGAATTGTAGAGAATTCTGTTTTGTACATACTGAAAATTGCAGGTAACATGTAATAAAGGTGAACATTTGTAATTTGTAAAATATATAAAAGTTTGTCCTTTGTAATATAAAAAGTGTAGCATTATCAAATAATTATTTGATCACTTTGGCTTATGTTTCCTAATCCCAATATAGTCAAAATGATCAAATACTGTATATATTTTTTGTATCCTTTTGCGTTTCTATTATTATGTAATTATAACTTATTTGTAATTATATTGCAATGTAGACAAACACATGCATTGAAGTAAAATTAATGACAGTAAACAGTAAATAAAGCTTACCAATGGCACTATGAGAGAGAGAGAGAGAGCGAGTGTCCGAAGCAAGCCACTCGAGTCCAGTTGTTTAGGGCAGCTGCTTTCACAACATTAGATCCACTGTCGATAGTTACACACAATTGCTTCTTTTTATCTAGTTCCCAAACTACTCCCATATGTTTGAGGTAGCTCCGCGTTTTGGCACAATGTCTTCTACAATCTGCATGTCTTCACCATGGTCTTCACCGCCGCCCTTAGCCATGTTTGCTCTCTGCTCTGTTGTTGCTGTCCCTGCACGCCGCTCTGCTACACGTGCCGCGCAGATGCGTCATCAAAGTGCGCCGCACACAAACGTGTCTTCCGCTCGCTGTTTTCAGTGTTAAATGATCGTTTTCACCGGTATAAGGCATTTTCTTATCATTTAATTTACTTATACCGGTATACCGGTACAAAAAAAATATCGCCCAACCCTAGTATGTAGTTGGGTTACATATTCATTTAATACTAATATTATGCTTGTCGTTATGAATAAGTACCTTCTGATAGCGTTTGGATCATCAAGGCTATAATCTGTTTTATTTGAACATTTGTTAAATGTTCTTTACTTTGCATTGTTCCTCCTTTATCTCTCAAATAAATAAAATACAAGCCACAATTAAATGCTCGGCCGCGCACTATTTACATATTAGCATTACAGGTTAGCTTGAATACATATTCAAGTTAACCGTCTGTAAAATCTGACAAAATGTTTTATCAAAACTGTACAGCTTTTCCCACTGCTTCAGTCGGTCTTTGGGAAACCTAAAAAATGAGCATGCGTTGCATAAACTTTGATGATTACAGCCGAAAACAAAGCAGAGCGTTTTGCACCATTCAATTAAACCGCCTCTTCGAACAGCTGGTGGTTTGTTTGCATCCGAGCAATGAACCGGAAGTGCTTCTTGGACGAGACTTTCCAGCCCTATTCCCACCTGTAAGCATTCAAACACTGCTCTGCATGCTTTCATATGGTGCTGCAACCCTCCTCCTTCCCATCACCGCCACATCAGGCAGAACAACTTCTGCATTCACCATGCAGGGCTCCGACAGGTTCTAAACGCCAAATCTCAGAGTATTGTGTGCTATTTATGTAGTGATAGATTACTATACCAACCAATAAATACACTTCTAATAACCGCCTTTTGTCTGTATCAGTCTCTCCAGATTGATATGGCATCCAATTCTCTCAGCTCCTGTGCGTTTGTCATGCATATCTTTGAATGTATGAGCCGTGGAGGCTGTGGGGACTTTGACTGGATACAACATTCATGTGTCTTTGAGGTGTGAGTGTAATAGTGAAAGGGCACACAGCTCCATAGAGGCTCCTGTTTGAAATAATGAGAGCGTGGAGGTTTCATGTGATGGGGACCAAGCCGCACTGGGGCTGCTAATGTGGGCCGCAGCATTTACTACATTCGGCTCATATCTAAAGGGAATGAGCTCCATTGTGAAACTGCTTGTGCACAAGTCTCTCCATAACCTCGAACCAAGCCATGTGAACCAATTCAGACTCAGTCTTCCTTAAAATGTGAAACAGGATCATACTCTGACAAAGTACAAATCCAAGTTCAAAACAGTTGTGCATACAACTGAAGGATTGTATCGTCACTCTTTTTGATTAATTTTTCACTTTGAATTGGCTTGTGCATGAACTGTGCTATACAAAAAAAACTTGGCTTGCCTTAGCAATACAAACTAGGACATGATCAATTAAACAACTGCACTTACTTAAAACAGACTCCATCAATCTCAGTGTCAATCATATTCTTGTGTTTACGTAGGCGTATAGCATCAGAGCTTATGTTAATGAAACCTCTTTGGAAATGCTTCTTGCTGTGGGCAATCTATTGATTTCTTCATCCAAAGGTCAACTACATCTGGATCCATACAATGTAAACGCCTTTTGTGACCAGGTCAAAGCATAATTAAACAAGTTATTATGCCTTCATAATGAGCTTCAGATGTACATTGTGTGGGCTTTGTTGACCCCGACACTTGGCTTCTGATGGATTAGTGCAGAGGGCAGCCTGCTTGTTTAGCAAAGACTGGAAAACATAAAACCTATGCAAACGTTTAGATTATTAAACTATTTGGCTTCTGCATTAGCGATGGCTTCTAACATTGGATAACTCAGTGATTCCCAAACTTTTTTTGCTGCCCCCCCCAAAAAAAGCACATACTAACACAATTTGTCTATTGAAGTTTATTTCACATATGGTAATCAATATAAACCTAAGTGAACTGCCATAAACTGCAAATTGCAATAAGTGTAACAGCATTCAAGGACATGTGTAATTATGTTCAATGTAACAGGTTGCTTTTTTATATTCAACATTTAATCATTAAGCATTTTTTAACAAATTGCCTCTTTGCAAACATGGGTTTTAAACATAGACTTCTATGGGCAGTTTCAAAATGTCTGCAGGGGCTTGAAAATGTGAAGAAACGCATTTGCACATGTGACAGCGGTTACGAGCCTTCAAAAGTCCACTGCGATTATACTAGACTGGTCCAAAGAAATACACTCCCCTCAGCATGGACACACATGTGGAACGGAGCTTTGGACCACCTTGTAAAGCCGTTTTTGAGAGATAAGAAGATGCTATACATTAGCATTGGCTAAATCTTATTCCGGGTCCACCCCCATCGGCCTGGGGTGGTACTGCAAGCATGTCAGCGAACGTAATTTTGGACATTTTTGACCCGAGACCCGCCCCCGCTGTATTTAAAACATGACCAACTCACTGAGAGGAAAACAAAAACCTAAAGGTTTGCTGTGCAAAAATGTCACCTTTAATCCTCACATCTTTTCAGTGGCTGATGTGGACCTGCTTCATGCTGTAGATCTTGTCAAATCTGGGTTGCAATTTTTCGTCCCGGGCCCCCCATGCAATTGCTCTGCGCCCCCCCAAGAGGGCGCGTTCCCCTCTTTGGGAACCACTGGGATAACTGTAGATGTATCAATTACGTATTTTTTTTTAGAGTGTTTGGCCAGTTGGACTTTTCACTATACTTTTCAAAACAACATAAATACGTATGCTCAGATTCAGTTTGTGAATGAGAGATGCGATACTTGATCTCACGATGGAGGAATTTCTGATTCAGGATTCAAGTAAGTAAGTAATCTTTATGTATATACCACGTTACCCAGACCAGAGTGACAAAGCGGTTTACAATTGATCAGGATGATTCAAGTATCTACACAATTGAGCATGAGGTCTATCTTTCCTGAATGTTATGATTAGTTATAAAACTCTGCTCCACTTACTGGAATTTTTGATATACTTTATTTACATTTTCATATACATTTTATACCGTTTTACACGCACGCACGCACACACACACAACACACACACACAGTGGCACTCCAAGGGTACCCCAGGGCCCCAGGCAACAGAGTCCTTGGGGGCACCGATACCGACCACATAGTAAAATGCAATATCTATTTCTTGTTTACATTAATATGAATAAAATGTGATAAATTCTTACTTTTAACAATAAATGGATGCCTGGGGCCTGCCTGGCAGACTGTACAGTCTACCATAGAAAATTGTGAATACTTCAGTACTTATCCTGACACAAAGCAATGAGAAATAATTTAGCATGTCTTTTTATAAGCTTGTTCTCGACACTCATCATGTTATAATTAATTACAAAAACTACCTATCAACGTGTATTAATCCTACAAAATCTAATCTTTCATTTGGCCCTCGGTGTTTATATAGTCTATATTAAAGATTAGGCTCTTAGCTTTAATCTGCAAAAAACGACTTGTTTTTACCGTTCTTGAGCAATCTGTCATAAAACGTATAGTTACTAATACTGCTCTCGTTTGAATTCGAACCCGGGTCACCGCGCTAAGAAACTGCATCTTAACCACTAGCCCACTGTAACAGTGAACACAAAATCAGCCCCAGGAAGGCTTTTTAACTGTTGATAAAGATTTATCTGCCAACTCATCACTTATCACTTATTATAATAGATCCATGGTTGTAGCCTGTACAAGTCGACCGCTTGTGCCAAATCAGTCGGCCCTCGGGGGCCCCAGGCAGCTGCCTGTCTTGCCTGTTGGCACGGGACGCCTCTGCACACACACACACACACGCACACACCTTTGGAAAAGTATTGTCTACCAATTAGATGCAAAACAATGAAAGCAACATGTTCCCCTTCTACCAGTAGATGGGAGTGTTTGCTTATTCTGACAGTCACTTCAATCTCAAACCTAACAAAAACATAAACCATGTTAAACAAATAGGTTCTTTGAGTTTGAATTAACTGTTCTATACAAATACACTTGCCTTTGCTGTACAGCTGAACATAATTGTTTTTAACCTACATTTGACTATTGTCAAAGTAGAAACCTGTTTCACAGTTTCAGGAAAACTGTATAAAGCTGCATAAATCTAAAATTCTATCTCCCATGTCGCCAGGTTTATAGATAACCAGTCTGCTCCACTCTGCGCAAACCCTTGATAAACAGCCTGATGCATTAAATGTGATTTTATACCAAATATCCAGGTAGAGTATACGGTGAGCACATTTAGCTGCCTGTCCCCGTACCTTGTGCATGATCAGATTGGTGTGACAGCCGCAGGAGGAAGAGGAGCTCAGGTGTGCAGCCATCACACTCAGCCCGCTGGTAATAAAAGGTGAAAATGTGTCATAGAAGTTCCCTCATCGCCGGCTCCAGATGTGCTCTTACCAGCGTTAAATCGCAAACATCACCAGAATTTAATTAGGCTGGTTCTGGTGACATAGGCATGAAATGAACGGTTCTTGCTGTAGGGGAATAACTATGATATGTATGAGATCGACTTAAAATTAAGAGACAGTCCACATTCTAAAGCCAGTGTGGGAATGTGAGAGGAATAATAATAGACACATCTGCAGATCTGGGCCAGAACAGAACAGAACTGTACAAATGATTATTATCTTTACACCCATTAAAGCCTAGTGTATAGTCGCGCGGCGCGGACCTTACGCTGGAGACGTGACGTCACTTGCGCATGGATCACCTCAAGGCCCTTACGTCGCCTGCCGCGCACCCAAAGAAGCTCCGCTGTGATTGGTCCGTGTGTGTGTGTATTGGAAGGAAGCATGGAGCGGCTGCAGGAGCATGGACGAGGCACTGTGGAGCAGACTGCTTTGGGCTTCGAAGGAACCGAAGGAAAAGTAGTTTGGGCTCGTGGCAGAGCCTGATATACGGGGAGACTGTGGACTGTTCAGTTCTGTTGGATATCTAACATATATATATAACTTATAAACTGTGCAGTCATTTCTTTTGCACTGTTCCTGTCTTTGTTTGAATCTGCACTTGTAGCTTATCGCGTCTGTTCCATTCCTCCTGCACTTGTAAATAGTTGATGTTTGTCTCAGATATTTAACACTTATTGTTTTGCTGTTTGTGCTGAATACAATTTAATAAACTATGTTTGCAACAAGAACTGTGTCTTTATTCACAAAATCACAGTTAAATGAGGTGAAACGATGAGTTTAGAACTATCACATAAACCTACAGTAGAAACACATGCATGAGCTCAAACAGGTTCGCTATTGTTTTTGTTCTGAAGAGGAGAAAGTAGCAGCACAAATGGGACCGCTTTGGTTTCTAAACTCCTGTGAGTTTGCCATCACGTGGTTGGTTGTGGGATTACAACATTCCGGGAACGCGCAAGTGTACCACAAACTGTGGTTACGTAGGTTCAACGTAAACCTTAACCGCAACCGTAAGCAGCGCCGCGCGAATGTACACAGGCCTTTACAGTGTATATGTGCATAAGGGCACAAGAAATGTCTCTTTAATGGGAAAAAAGTACTATAAATAACAGTGCAATAGTTTTCTGCCACATACTGTATTAACACCTAACCCTGCAGATAACTACAGCTGAGGTGGGAGAGTCTGTCCATAGGACAACAATCAGTCGTGCACTGCACAAATCTGTGAAGTGGCAAGAAGAAAGCCATTTCTCAAAGATATCCATAAAAAGTCTTGTTTAAAGCCACCTGGGAGACACACCAAACATGTGGAAGAAGGTGCTCTGGTCAGATGAAACCAAAATCGAACTTTTTGGCCACAATGCAAAACGATATGTTTGGCGTAAAAGCAACACAGCTCATCACCCTGAACACACCATCCCCACTGTCAAACATGGTGGTGGCAGAATCATGCTTTGGGCCTGCATTTCTTCAGCAGGGACAGGGAAGATGGATAAAATTGATGGGAAGATGGATGGAGCCAAATACAGGACCATTCTGGAAGAAAACCTGTTGGAGTCTGCAAAAGACCTGAGACTGGGACGGAGATTTATCTTCCAACAGGACAATGATCCAAAACATAAAGCCAAATCTACAATGGAATGGTTCACAAATAGACGTATCCAGGTGTTAGAATGGCCAAGTCAAAGTCCAGACCTGAATCCAATCGAGAATCTGTGGAAAGAGCTGAAGACTGCTGTTCACAAACGCTCTCCATCCAACCTCACTGAGCTCGAGCTGTTTTGCAAGGAAGAATGGGAAAGAATTCCAGTCTCTCGATGTGCAAAATAGATAGATAGAGACATACCCCAAGCGACTTGCAGCTGTAATTGCAGCAAAAGGTGGCGCTACAAAGTATGAGCGCAAGGGGGCCAAATAATATTGCACGCCCCACTTCTCAGTTTTTTATTTGTTAAAAAAGTTTAAATTATCCAATAAATTTCGTTCCACTTCACGATTGTGTCCCACTTGTTGTTGATTCTTGACAAAAAATTGAATTTTTATATCTTTATGTTTGAAGCCTGAAATGTGGCAAAATGTTGAAAGGTTCAAGGGGGCCGAATACTTTCGCAAGGCACTGTAATGCCGTTTTTCCACAGTGTCGGTTCAGTTCATTTCGGTACGGTACGGCACACCTATTTTGCTTTTCCACTAGTGGATGGAATGGGAGATTTGAGTACTTTTTCGTACTGCCTCAGCCGTGGTTCCATCCCCATAGTACCCGTGCCATGACGTCACGTCGGCCCACTGCCTTACACTGATTGGTCAACGAGTGTCGTCACTGGAAGCGACATCTGACCCTTAGGGAAAAACAACTCAACCGCCATCTTTAAAACCGGCTGCTCTGCTCGGCTCTGCTTCAGCTACATTACGTCCTCCTCACTCCAGAGAAATGGAATTGCACAGAAAGCCCCACAAGTCCTGGTCCTAGTCGGTGGAAGAGGTCCACACGTTCCTCTCTTCAGGCCAAAAGAAAGAATTCAAAGGCAGCTCGAGGCTCAACACAGTTTTCAGGAGATCACCCAGCTATGGATTTGTGACTAGTCTGTGGTAATCCTGGAAATAACTGGTTAGCTACGAACCCCCTAAAGCTCTCACTGAAATGTATTTACTGTGTAAATGCTCGATTGTCTGTTGTACACCGTGAGCTAGCTACATTTAGCTTCATTTAGCTATCGATAGCAGCTAAGCTAACGTCCTCCCTGTGCTACTGTGCTTTATCTTGTATTATCTGCAGTATTCATGTGTTGTCATTCTGTTTTGTGCTTGTATTTAAGTTGTTGTGTGTATATTTGTATAAGAATCTCTTCCCATAAGTGTGGAGATTACCAACGAGTAATGAGTGACCGGAGTATTCTCATCTGGACCTGGTCTGGACTTGGTCTGGACCTGGTCTCTGACATACGTACTTTTGACTTTGTAAACTGTTGGTTTTGCACTTTACTTTTGTTTTCAATAAATCTGTGATTGTATCCCAAGACTGTGTTTCATTCATTTATTATTATTGTAGCTGAGGTTTGGGTATCGATTGTTTGTCTGGTCTCGGAGTCTGCTGTAGTCCGGACCCGAGTCCGGACTAGTCTAGCTTAGCCTAGCTTAGCCGCTAACTCGCTACCCCTATGGCTGCCGCTGTCTCTCCCTCGGTCCTTTACTGCTCGAGTTGCCATATGACAAGTTTAAACCCCGGATCCTCCTCTGAGGGCAGTGATAGATGTGTTAAGTGTAGTACAGTAGTAGCTTTGGAATCCAGGGTTAGTGAGTGAGCAGAGTCTCGAGCTAGCGCTAGCATTAGCTATAGCCTAGCAGTTAGGGATGTAAAAAACTATGAATTTTCATGACCGACCACCGAGCCTCATTAACCGGTTGAAACCGGTTAACCGCGTAGTTTAAAATAGTCCACGTTCTTTGAAATAACAGCCATTTCGAGCCGCGTACTTTTCATAAGTGCAGCTCTGCGTTCTACTGGATCAGAGCCGAGACAGCGGCGCCCAAACCCGCAACAGCTCCGGCACCTTTGCGCACAGAGAACTGCTTTTTTAATCTTCCCATTCTGCTGTGCTGCGGGTTAATACCAAAACTTTCTAGCAGCAAACACGGCTCGTTCACATGGTCAGAGCAGCGAGTGACGAGCCGCGTCTCACAGGTCTTCACAAAAGTTTAAATACAAGTGATGTGTGTGGAGCTGATCCCGAGGACCATAAACACAAACATGTTTCCCCTACAGCAAAACATGTAGGGGAAATACGCGACTCCCAAAGGAGCCGCGTATTTGCGCGAATCCTTTGGGCTCCGTGACACAGAGGAGCGCGACAGACCGGTATGTGTGTGTGTATGTGTGTGTGTATGTGTGTGTGTATGTATATGTGTGTGTGTGTAAATGTAAGCTCCAATGTAGTTCTGACCCGCGCCAGTGTGCAACTTTGACGGTAACAGAGGGGAGAGATGATGCGTGTGGATGTTACGTATGGAGAGGGGGAAAGTGTGTGTGTGTGTGTGTGTGTGTGCGCGCGTGCGTGTGTGCATATGTGGCTCGTGCGGCGTGAGAGTCGTCCCGGAGTTTATAATACATGGGCGCACACAGCTAGATACAGACCCGCTCGTCACACCGTGCAAATAGGGCTTAAAATAGCGTTATTAAGAGACCTCCCCTCTCCCCTTTTTCTCTTTTTTAACCGACAGCTTTGACCGGTTAACGCTGTGACGGTCAACCACCGGTTAACCGGTCGCCGATTTACATCCCTACTAGCAGTATCCTCGGACATGCAGCCCTCCTCCTCTGCTACACAGGCTGCTGTTGTTACAGGTATGTCCCATTCAGATTGTACAGAGCAGTCAGCACCATTGACTTCACAGTGTCTGAGTCATTCTTTTAAGACATAAGCATTTTCAAAAACTACTCGTGCTGTGCTGAATTTTCTATTAAACACTTGCTCTGGTATTATAATAAATCCATGCACCGCACCAGTACTAGTTACGCGTCACACGTAAATGACGTGGTCTGACAACGCTGAGGACATACTAGGGGGTACTATTTTTGATGGAAAAGCACGCGAACTGGGCCATGGCGCGCCGTGTAGAGTCAAAACGTACCGTACTCGGACCGTGGAAAAACGGCATAAGTCTATCCACTGTAGGACTAATACAAGATTTTCATATCTTCTTACATCTGTAGCAGGATTGGCAGTACTCTGAAAAGCCCTGATCATTATTCATTCAAATCCCATTAATTTTTTGTCTTGTTTTATTGGATGCATTTTAAGCTAACCAACAGTATTCCTTCTGGCAACGTTGATTTCAACAATGCCCTAATCCTAATCATACTGTGAGGTCATCACTGGACTGGGCGGATCTATAGCCTGTCTGTCCGTGGGTGCGGATCCCTCCCTCGATGTGGGCCTCCTAAAGGTGCCTCACTTTTTTCCCACTGGGGATTTTTTGAGTTGTTCCCGCAGATGCAAGAGAGTCTAAGGACAGTGGTGATGATCCAGGACATATAACAGTTTATGGACGTCTATTAACATTTATGCTTCTCCGCCCTTCATGGACCAATGGCTCTATGAGTTTGTTATTGTTGCATTTCCTCTGTTTGAACTGTTTGATTCTCTGATCTGTGTTGGCGAATAAATAATGTAATTTAAATGAATTGAATTAACTGAGATGACAAATAGGCATGTACAGTACTTATAAATCAGCGTTGTAAGTCACCAAGTCGACTGTTGAAAATAACTTTATATCCATGATGACTGTGAGGTTGAATTTGAAATCGACCAAATGTATTGTATGTGTCAACACAGAGTTTTAGAGTTAGAAATGTCCCTGTGTTTAATGCTAAGAGATACAACTGAAAGCAGAGAAAGTATTGGAGTGGAGTGGCCATGCTTATGTTTATTTATATAGCACATTTCACAGATCAAGGTCACCCAAAGCGCTTTACATTTGCAGTACTCTGTTTCTCTCTTGTGTTGTTAAGCACTTTGAGTTGCCTTGTGGAAGAACAGTCCTGTACAAATATCCTTGCCTTACCTATAGAAATATGCCTCTCCTACGCACCAATTTGTATAAATTGAAGTTTTCTTTTCATCCTTTCTTTGAAAACTTGTCCACAGACTCAGATAAAAGAACTTTGTTATTATCACCAAAATATAATTGCAGTATTGAAACTGTGACTTTGAATAGAAGAATTACACAGACTTGCTTCTCAGAAATGATATGTGGTTATCCCTGTGTTTAAAAAAAAAAGTATTTTGTTACGTGTTTTCATTGCCTTGTTTCAGTGTGATGATTACCAGCCTAGTTATTTCTCCGAAACATCATTTCTGCAATATCAGCTGTCGGAATAAATCTGAAATTGAATATTTTAGCTACAACTGAACCCTTTCTACTTTAAAATGCAACTAGCCGCTCACTGGTCTACCGAGAATCTCCAAACCCTCTCAAAGCAGAGTTTTCCATTACATAAGTGTGTAAGTGACTATTTTTGCTAGAGGTAAGACAGCGTTGCTGGGGCTGTTCATAAAAGGCTTCCGTGTTTTGGAGTGAGACATTACTCTGGAGAAAAACAAAATGCAGCCTCTTCACTTGTAAATAACAAGCTCTTTTGGTTGGAGACAGCTCCGCCACAGCCTCTAGCAGGCGGCAGACGGAGCTCATTTCTCCAACGCGCCATGAAAGTTTAACAACATGAATTTACATTTCCTCTTAATTATGCCACTGTCTGGAATATTGTCTGTCGTCTGAGGTACTTAAGTAAAGTCTGTTGGTGAATTTGAAAACAAGGACCATGCAGCAAGAAAGCAGACGTTGGTTTAAGATCCAGCAAATGCATTCTTCTCCAAAGTGCAAGACATACCATACTTCTGCTTAACACAATTTGGCGACTTGAGAACCGTAATTACTTAGCTCAAGTACAGGTTTGTTATTTACAGTATTTGTTTGTGACTTTTTCTTTATCTAATGTAGGTGTACTATGTTTGTATATTATTATTTTTTATAGAATTGTGATTAATTTTACTTTTAAATCCCAGAAATGTAGCCATATTTTACTGGCAATTAAAATAAAAACATTGTGGGTGTTTCAGGTAATATCACCTTTGAAAACAACAAGACCCACATGTATCATTATTGCTGTGTGTCCTCACCTCCCACTTGCTGTCCGGGGTCCTCCTCTTGAGCTGGATGTTCCAGTGGTCCGTGGAGTCCATCTCTGCGCAATGAGCCATGGTCAGGGCCACCGGACTGAGCAGGTCTAAACCCGGAGGACCATACGTGACCTCCGGGCCCAGCAGCACCTCACAGCCCTCCAACGTCTGCAGACTGGACACAAGACACAAAGACTCTGCCATTTCACATTTCTCAAAACAGAACAAATATGGATTTACTTTAAGAAAAAAAAACAAGAGTATACGTGCTTATAAGTACAAACGAGAAATTCTGCATTTATAATCATGGCATGGTTTAATTACAAGCATACAGTTGTAAAATAACTTTACAATTGTGCCCCACCCAAAAACTGTTTAATTAAAAGTAATTTGGAGGCAATCATTATAAAAAAAAAAGGCTTAGACTGGCTTTGTTCAAAACTATCTTCTCTGTCTGGTACACACTGGAGTAGTCTTGCACATTTTTTCCAATATGGTTTTTCTGCAAATGGCAAATAATTCTTTAATCTTTTTGAATCTTTAATCAGAGTCCTTAAAGCAGACATATAAATTTATATTTATTTATTTAGTTTATTGAGAATGGAGCTATGAACAACTCCAGGTCTGTTTTTGATGAGGAACAAAAGCTAATAAAAAAGAGATTCCACCAGCCCTACATTTCCTGGTCGTGTTTCCATTACACTTTAGTATCTGGTACCCGATTCTAGCAACCTACCCACAACCAACCAGTGTCCGGTGAAATTCCTTGGTAACCACGGCTTCCAGCTGCACTCTGGCCATTCACTGTCAGTTACAACACTTTAGTTTAGCTCAATAGATAGCTGGATAGAACAAGTGACAATAGGGATTTTATTCAATGACAAAGCAGACGTGTCTAGCTAAGGCTTATGTTAGCTTACTGTGAGGTTCAAATGGTGCTCTCTGGACTTAGGAAGTAGTAAAAAGTGATTAAAATATTTCAAAAGATTTATGGCCAATTCCATTTGATTCGGTCAACAAGACAAGACCCACCATGCATAAATATAACCACCGCAAACTTTGTGCAACAGTTAACACGGCAACTGGGGTAATAACATCTGTGTGTGTTTTCCTTTTCTTATAAAATCTTGGCACAGGTGAAAGATCCACGACTGCAGCCTTGTTAAGCACAAAAAATCGTCCATGACCGTGACAACCACATTAGTACAGAGGAACATGTTTGAACTTTGTGTTGGCTATTATACACCAAAGTATGGGCCGCATTCAAATAAGGATAAACGAAAAGTGAGGAATTGGCAGGATGTGAAAGGACGCCCTCCCCTCTGAATTGAACGCTTGATGGGGTTTGTTGTTGTTATCAGGCAAAGAGCGAGCTATAGATTAGAAATAAATGCCACTCATGTTAACGTGTGGAACTAACACTCCCACAATTTTGAAACATCAATAACTCCCCGAGTGGTCTTTTTGACTGCCCATATTAAAAATATTATAATTCTGAGAAATTGTCCCCCCCAAAAGATATTTATGTTTAATATAATATTTCTGCCGGGGTCCAATAAACCAATCCTAGTTCATTTTAGGGCTGTCAAAATTATTGCGTTAACGCACGCACATTAATACAATTTTTTCATTAATTGCGTTAAAAAAGTTAACGCAATTGACGCATGTCCAAATGGCCTGCCCACGCATCCTGTAATAACACTCACAAGTGACAGGGACACGTGTGTGAGATGGTGACAGAGCAGGTACGCATTAGTTAGCATTAGCACAACTTCTTATAAGCTGTACAGCAATCACTAATGATTGCTATATATAATTGAAAGATTACCGCTAGTTTTCCAAATATAGTCCGAGCGTAGATAGTCCGAGACGGTCCCGCTCCCGCTGGTCTCTCCAGAGGATACGATGTAAGCTAACAATGTTCACCCGTGCTTGATTTCTTCTTTTATCATTTTTTCGCTAGTTCCCTCTTCCCCTCCTCACTGTTTCGTCTTTTGAGCTGTTTTGCTGTGTCTGCAGTTACAGACAGACGAGGCAGAGCCATTTTCGGCCTCCATGCTGCTGTTGTTTACATGGGCTGCAGACGCTAGAGGGGGAGTGGCCTAAGAAAACTAGAGTCACGCAGTTTCTACTCTGCACTTTTTACGGCCTTAATTCATACACAAGCTAAATCAATTAGCTATATTTTTCAATTAAATTATGGGTTTTAAAAAAACTTAGAAAAAATACTGTCTACAAAGACAGAATGTTAATAATATAAATGCCGTTTTATGTGGATTTATTGTTGCAATAAACAACAGTACACTATGTTGTCAATTATCTTTCCATTCAAATAACCATTTACAGAAAGGTATGGCATAATATTGCTGATAGTTTGAATTGAAATGTCATGGTTTAAGTTTATTTCCTGTTTTATTTTGAAATGTGTTATCCCTGTGTCTTCTTTGGTTGTACTTCCTGTTGTCTGATTGCCTGCCCTGCCCTTATCTGTCTCACCTGTGTCTCGTTAGTCTTGTATTTAGCCCTGTGTGTTCCTTCACTCCCTGTTCCGTCATTGTCATTCCTAGTCTGTTTTAGTTCTGTCCGTTCCCTGTATTTTTGGTAGGTCTTGATTTGTATTACTTTCATTAAATCCATCTTTTTGCAGATTTTGCCTTTTGGGCCTCATTTGTTTTTCACCCACGTGACATGAAATGCAATAAAGTACGATTAACAATTTTTTAAGTGTATATATATTAGGGGCTGCACAATATATCAAAAAAATGCGTTTATTATATTTAACGATAGGGCTCAATTATCAAAGGAAGTATGTCTTTGAAGAGCCATGTCGGGACTGCGTCTAACATTTTGCTTGGCTCACAGCCATGAATTTATCGAGGCCCACTGAAGAGTCTAAGTGGGAAGTCACGTATGCCGCTTCAACCTGTCCACCACTAACAGCAGGAGCAACCTCCTCCAGCTTGGCGATTGGATGTAATTTTTATTATTAAAGAAGTGGAGAAAGTTGACACTGCTCAGTGAGCTTGGAATTTTAGGCTCGATTGCGCTATGGCAGTTTGTGAGTTTAGCGACGGTGCCAAACAAAAATCTACTGTTGTTTTTATTCGCTTCTATTAAAGTTAAATAGTATTGAGTTCGAGCCCCGCGAAGGGCCTTCTTGTAGTTTCGGAGACCTGCTTTCCACTCCCTGTGGACAGGCTCCGAGTGGGAGTGGCGATATAGCCTCTCCAATTTTCTGACGTCCTGTTTTAAAGTGTGGAGTTGAACACTGTACCAGGGCGACGATGATCTAATCCTAATGGTTTTCTGTTTTAAAGGAGCTGCTGCATTTAATGCAGATTTTAAAGACTCCATAGTGTTGCCCACCGTTTGGTCAATGACTGAGGGACTGCAGCTGCTGTGTAACAGGTTCACCTGCTAGCAGTATTCAACCTAGGCTGTATTAGTTCTTTGAAACCTTGTGATAATTTATCATTTAAGGTTCTTTTACTTATGGTTATATCTTGCGGGACAGGGAAAGTCCTCCAAAGCGAGATCAAACGAGATCAAGAAATGGTTCATGAACTACGAGCTTTGAAGCCGGATGTCAACTTTGGAGAGACATCTCACAGCCGATAGGTCAGGTCAAGGTACAATGGTCGTGGTTATGACTGTGCCGTAGTAACTCGTCATTCTGAGTAAAACCAATCAACCTTCTAGTCGGCGCTGATAAGCTTTGTTTAAGCTGTCAGTGCTGTCGTCCACTAGGTATATTGAAAGTCTCAGCTATAACTATGTTTTTCCCCATTCCAAGAAAACTATGTTTGAAATGGAAGTCATGAGAATTCCTGTTAGGAACTCGCTGTAGCAGGACCAGGTAGGTCGGTATAAAACTATAAATAAAACTGCGTTTTGTTTTCTCCACCCAGGACAGGTGATTGTAAAGTGTTAAGTTTTCAAACGAGTGAAATGCGTTTGTTGGTTTTTGGGACTAAGAACCAAGATGTGTGTGATATAATCGCAACACCACCGCCGCGACCTGTAGCTCTGGCTTTCTGGTAGTTAACATGCGTCGGAGGAGTGCACTCATTCAATCTAACGTACTCGTCCTGTTGGAGCCAAGTCTCCGAGAGCGCAAACAGATCCAAGCCCTTGTCTATAATAAGTTCGTTTATGAGAAGCGATTTAGACGAGATTGATCTGACGTTCATTAAACCACATTTAACAACCCTACCGCTAGAACTATTTCTGTCTGTCTGAACTTTTATTAATTTACTGTGTCTGACACCTAGGTCAGATTTCCTCGCATATAGTGCTTTAGACTTCAAGCGAGGAACACACACAGTTTCAATCTGACTAGGTTCTGAGGCTAGTAACTGAGCACACACAGGCATACACATACATGCACACACAGTTTCAATCTGACTAGCTTCTGAGGCTAGTAACTGAACAGATGGGGGGCTCAGAGGTTGTGGCAGAGCAGCTCTGCACCCGGGCCTCAGTTCTGCATCGTCATTTGAGCCGAGCAGAACAGTTTAGAGCCAGGGCCAAATTCTTAGCCAAAAGGGATGTACCCGCCAACGTTGGGTGGATATCATCCGAGCGGATGAGACGGGCTTTCCCCAAAAGGCACTCCAATTGTCAACATGAACAACACCACTTCGAGGGCACCAGCCAGACAGCCAGCGGTTGAAAGCCGAGTGTCTGCTGAATGCTTCTGCACTGCTAGTGCTAGGTAGGGGCCCAGAGAAGATGACAGTGTCGGCCATTGTGCTAGCCAGCTTGCACACGGCGGCGACTTGCAGCTTCAACACCTCGGACTGTTTCCGCCGAACGTCATTACCACCCGCGTGAATAACAATTCGACGGAAACGCTGCTTGTGGGTCATCATGAGCCTCAGATTCCCTTCAATATCACCAAGCCTGGCCCCAGGGAAGCACCGAACAGTGGCTCCTGGGATCTTAACACCTCTAACAATAGAGGAGCCAATTACCAGCGCATCAGCGACTCCATCGGCTCTCTCAGCAGCTCTCTCAGCGGCTCTCTCAGTGGGGCCTTCTTCCCCGCCCGGCCGCGCGGGGGCGCAGCCGGACAGAGCGTCCCAGCGATTGTAAATGCTAACAGGAGGAGGCCCAATGGGGAAACTACCAACAACACGTCGCCCTTTCCGAACAGTCACAAAGCCATCACTATCCTGGTCTTGTCCCAGCTGCGGAGGACGGGC